GATTTTTTTTTTTTTTTTTTTTTTTGTGCGTTTTGTTTTCCCCTCCTTGTGAGGGAGGCAAGCTTCTACCTTTTACTGAATCTGGACAAATGTTAAGGGTTTGTCTTTATCCTGCTTTGTTCTAATGTTCATACTGGACCTAAGTGCGTGTCTATTTGATTAAGTTGTAGCAGCTTAATTGTGGTGTCATTTTGAACTGTTGTAGTCACATTGGTGCAAATGGTTTTGTGAATGCTCTGGCTTACACTAGCATAAATTAAGTCCATTAGAAATAGGAATAAGCAGAACCGGAGTGGATCTGTAGAGCTGGATGATGTGCATAATTAAAATGGTGTGCCCGGGAGAAATTATTGTTTGGGAGCACGCAGCATGCAAGAAGTACAGTAGGCTGGACCAGAGCAGTAACAAATATAGGCAAAGTTTAAGTGTCCCGTTTCCCACCTCAACTGACCCCATCCTGCTCCCAAGCCTCCAAAGTTGCAGTTTTCAACAATACTGCCTTTGACTGTGTGCTGTCTTCTGTCCCTCTCCTCATCCAGGCCTTTTCCTTTGCCTTTTCACAATGAAGCCAGTAACTCTTTCAGAACTTTAATTTTTCAGCCCTATGTTGCTTTTTTGTAGTTTCCTTAAATGTGGTCTCATGGGTGTTTGTTTTTGTGCTGTCAGTTATATCCCTTCTCCCCCTTTTTTTTTTCCCTTTTTATCTTTTCCATAATGAGTTAAATTTTCTTTCAATTTTATTTTCAGTTACTTTCCACAAAGTTGCCATACTGCAGGGAGAATGTGTGTTTGGCCTATGGTCAGGAGTGGTCGGTGTATGCAGTGGGATCTCAGGCACATGTCTCCTTTCTGGACCCAAGGCAGCCTTCCAACAATGTTAAATCCGTCTGTTCCAGAGAACGAGGCAGTGGTAAGGAAAGCTTGAAGTTGCAGATTATCTGCCTGTAAAGGTAACAGTTAATGGCTGCAATAAAATGCAGTAGCTAGTAAATATCAAGGCTTCTTCTTTTGACTGTCCTAATAACTAGTAGTATGTGTAAATTAAACTCAATATGTTGCACAAGCAGACTGAATTGTGTGCATCTCGAGGTAATAAAGGCAGAGACATGGTTAGCCCTCTAACTGGCTAGGATCTGTTGAATTTCACTGCTGGCCAGATGCTGTATAGAGTAAGAGGTGCTGTCACTTAAGTTTTATCAAATGATCCATCCTTTGTCACCAGCCCCCTGGATTACGAAATAACCAATATATCTGCCTCTAATACTCTTTCTTTTTTCCTTGCATTTACATCTTTTGGAATTGAATAACAATTTAGCCATCTTCATGCTCTGTGCTACAATATTGGGTTTCTACATTGCAAGAACATGTTTTCATTGTAATTTTAAAACCTTGAAGGAAACATTTCTAGTGTTTTAAATTGTGTAAAAATGAGGTATTTATAAGAAGTTGTGTGAAATGCAAATTCTTGAAGTGGTTGTATTACACATGTGTCCACACTGCAAGCAGATTATCTATCTCTTATGTAAAATGGAGTCACTTGATCACCAGTGTCCAGTTAGTCTGTACTTACAGTGATGAGGCTGTCATGAGTGCATGAGAAGTGAAGTACCGCTAGCTCACACTCATTTCCTTCTTGGTCCCCTGATTAAAGCAGAAACACTGTTCCTGTCTTGTACTGTAGGCAACCGTGAGTCCTCTGGATCACAGTGTCTTCATAAGAGATCTAGTCAGGTGCCTGATGAATCCATTTGTGGCTGACGAGCCCAATTCAGAAGCCACACAGCTTGTTACAAGTTTCACAGATCCATATGTTGTCTAAGTTGGAGTCCGAGTTTACAGCATGCTGCTTTATTTTGGTTTGCTTTGCTTCCATCCTCTGGATCAAAGGCACTTCGTGCTGAGCTCCACCCAGTTCCAGATGTTCCCTGCAAAGCGGATGGGATTCTGTACACTCCTCTAGGCTTTCTATGTTGATGTTGAATGACTTCATATTTTTTTTTTGTACTTGTGGTGTTGCTACCATAGAGAGTGACCCCACTTTCTAGAGCCATCTCGAATCTTGCTATACAAAATTTTCTAGGGATTATGGTCTCCTCCCATTCTCCTGGTATGCCTGAGTCATTGCAACCTCCTCTTCTTAGTGGTTTCTAAGTTTGTCAGTCCTGTGCACTTCAGCACCTCTGTTTGGTATTCTGTTGTCCCACTTTATTTCCAGGATCTTAGCAGACATCTCATGTGGAAGCTGTTCAGTCTCTTGATGTGCCTAGCATATGTTGTCCAAGCTTCTAAATCATAAAGCAGGGATGATAGTACACAGGTCTTGTAGATTCGTATCTTCACCTTAGCTGATAGTTTGCTGTTATTCCGTGCACGTTTCTATAATAGCGCAAAATTCTTAGCTGCTTTTCCAGTTCTTTTAGTTCAGTCTGAAGATCAAGATTCCCACTGATTGTAGAACCCAAGCAGCAAAAACTGTCAACGCCATCAAGAGATTTATCCTCCAGAGTGATGTCAGATGTTGGTTCTTCCATTCCTTGGTACATGGTCAGTCTTCTTGAGACTAATTGCCACCCTGAAGCTCTTGCATGACTCATAAAATCTGCCCAAGAGATTTTGCAGGGAAGATTCACTGTGGGCAACTAAGGCCACATCATTTGCAAACAGGAAATCTCTCAGTACCAGATCTGTCACCTTGATTTTTGCTCTAAACCTTGCAGTATTGAACAAGCTTCCATCTAGTTTGGTTCAAAGATGAATGCTGATATTGCTGAATGCACGACAAAGTCCTTGAACGCATGAAGAAGCAGGAAAGAAAAGTAGAGGTTAAAAAGCAGGGGGGCTAAGACCCACCCCTGTTTCACCCCGTTGTTCATGTCAAAAGTGTTTGGACCTTGGTTTTCATATGCTACGGTTGCCTTCATCCCTTGATGTAACGAGTGAAAGATGCTCAACAGTTTGGGGGGACAACCCAGTTTTGTCAGAACAGTAAAAAGCCTCTGCCTTATTGACTATATCGAAACATGTTGTCAGATCAGCAAAGGCTACAAACAGTGCTATTCGGTTTTTTCTACACTCCTCTTGCAGTTGCTTGACCAAAAAATGTCATATCAATGGTGGAACATCCTGAGCAAAAACTGCATTGATTCTCAGGATAAGTTTGTTTTTTTTGTGTTTTTTGTTTTTTGTTTTTTTTACCTAGAGCAGGGGTTTCCAAACTGTGGTGTGCATACCCCAGTGGGTACACAAGACATCTCTGGGTGATACGTGGGAGAAATTGGAGATGAAAATTAAATCTGCCATTACACATAACTGGCATTGAAGGGGTTAAAATATAAAATGTGTGCTGTTAGGGGCACGAGGGCAGCTGTTAAATCTGGAAGGGGGTATGCAATAAGAGAAAGTTTGGGAGCCTCTAACCTAGAGACTGCAACCTATGGCATGTGATGCCAGTGACCATGTTTCCAACAGTGTTCAACAGGGAGATACCCCTGTAGTTGTCACAGTCACTTCTGTCCCCTTTATTGTATTATTATTGTACAAACCGAGCATCTCTGAAATCTTGTGGTACCACTTGCTCTCTCCACCAAAGCAGTATAATGTCGTGAAGTTTTCATAGTAATTTGTCATTGGCACATTTGTAGATTATAGCAGGCGAGCCATCTTGTATTGGTGCTTTTAGATAACTACAAAGCCTCTTAGTAGAGCTTAGGAATAGCTGCTGTAAATTTTAGTTTATCCAAACTTTTTTTTTACTTCCTTTCTCTGATTAAATCATCCACTACATCCAAGTATTTTTTTTCATAGTTTGAAGTGACTAGTCCCCTCAGAGACACTCTAACTCAAACTTTGTTTTTGAGGCACATTGCTGAGAAGTGTACTTCCTGAAGTTTTATTTTTCAAAACCAACTTAAAAGTGGGAAAAGCTAGCTGAAAACTTGCAACATGCGATCCAGGAGTTTCTTTCCAGTCTCGAGCTGCCACAGGCTATTGCATTGCAAAATCACATTCATAAGTATATCCAGCTTCAACTTTTAAACCTGATTAGGCTGCTTGTTACTGCTGCATCTGCTGGAAGGCTGTTCCATGCTGTCATTCCACTGATGGCTAGAAACTTGATTTCCACCTAAATTTATTTGTGCCAGTTCGTCCCCATTTGTTCTTGTGCCATCTTTATCCTTCATCTTAAATAACTCCCTCTAGGAGCATCCTCTGTAAGCTTTCATTTTGTTGGGCTAAACTAAGCTTTTTTTTTTTTTCTTCTTGGTGGTCTCTCAGTTAGGCTGTCCATTTACCAGATTGTCCTAGTAGGCTTTCTCTGAACCTGTTCCAGTATGAACATAATTGTCTCTGTGATAATGTGGCTCTTCAAACTTGACTTACCACAGACATCATTAGCACACTTTTTTGTGCCCGGGTTATCAATGACAATTTTAAATGAGATCACTTCTAAAACCAGTCGTAGGGGAACCCCGCTAATAACCCCTTCCCAGCCTGAAAGAGCAGATTGAAGTAGAAGGAGGGCTATTTCCCAGTTGGCCAGGTTTTTTTACTTGCCTTGCAATTTTAATTCAAATTCTCTTCTCCAGTTTAATTAACTGCCGGTGTAGCACTGTATCCAATTCTTTTCTGAATTTTTAGATTAATGTGTTTCCTTTGTCTAGGAAAATCAATTATAACCCAGTATCATTCTTTGGGAGGACTCTGGCATAGTTTGCATTCAGTAAATCCATGTTGCATTTATCCCATTTCTTTCAGTTAGTTTCCATGTCTCTGGTACTTCTTGCTTTCAGAACCTTGTTCTAAAGCTTTGCCTGTTGCTGAGATCAGAGTAACTGGATTCGGTTGCCTGGATCATGTTTTCCCTTTCTTAATGATGTATGTGTTATTTTCCAGTCTTAACAGTGCTACCTCCAGCCCCTGATTTAGTTCATTAAAAATCTTTGCTTCTACATTGGCTAGATCCACAAGACCCACCCTGACCCTTTAGGTCTATTTTGCAGCAGAATACTGTTGTCTTAACTTCTGGGGCTCCAGCAAAGCATTTCTTGATTGCAGACTGTCAACTCCTCGTTCCATCCAGAAAGGGCCAAGTTATAGCACTTCAGCACAAACATTGTCCAAATGGTTTTCAGGTTGAATCAAGCTTTGTTGATCAGGTCGCTAATTCAGAAACCCCTTGGGTAAGTTAGAACTGCCCATTGAAGCACAAGCAGCTTCTGTAGCTTTTTTAGAAGTATCCCAGTAGCTGAGACTCCATTAAGCAGCTGTTTGGGAAAAGATGTGTAATTCTACTAATATTACTCTTCAGTAGAGACTTCTCTATGTAATGCCTAATTTGGCAGAACCGTATCGCAGTCCTGATCTGTCTAGCCTCATAGCAGTTCCCTCCCTTGCATAGGCAGTTGCTTGAGTCACCAAAGTGCAATATAGTATAGATGAAACCTTGAAGAGAAGTTATCTGTAGAGTAACTGGTATTCTTGAAAGTGGTGGCATTTGTGTACCACAACCATCCGCCAAGTCATGGAGGCTGGTATTGCCAGGACTCTACATTGATGTAATGGCTAAGGATCTTTTGACCTTGCTCTGCCTTTCTATGCCCTTGCCCTCGCCCACAATACAATGGCACATAGTCCTATCTTGAGTGCATAGGGTCTGTGCAACATCAGGAGTGGAATATGTATAGACAGCATGCCTCAAAGAGCTTGCTTAAGATGTATTAAATGACTTCCCTTTTTTTTTTTTCCCTATGCCATCTTGGGTTTTATGAAGTAGGTGAAGACTGCAAACCTCAGTGCTTAGCCTTACACTGCTAACCCCCTATTTAAGCACTTGAATAAGAGAATAATCTTGAAAGATGCCTAGTGCCTGCACCTGCTGTTGGTTCCACTGTGAACTGTGGATGCTTGGCA